ATACTACTTTTGAATGAGAATTTTCATTACTTTTCTTAACGATTAAAAGTAAATGACATGTTAACTCCAATTGTGTTCACTCATATAATATATTGTACGTTTAATATTGAATAAGTTTATTCTATAGAGAATCAATTATTCTAGACGTTGGTTGTTTAAAGGAAACAATGATGAATCGTAAACAGCAGCTTATGTAGAACAAAACATATAAGCCCACAGTACTGTTTTCAGTTGAAACCTCATCAATTTTTACTCCGATTTATAGTTAAACAAAAATATATGAAATAAACCTGTAGATTAATGCAATGAGTGAGCCAATGATAACATGATCTAAATTACACAACTATCATCGTTCCTATGAAGTAACAGTTAACGATAGGTGGAGTAGTAGTAATGATAGAAATAAGAAAAATAGTACGGAAAGATGAACGAGTATTTCAACTTAAGATGAAAGTCATTACTTTGAAAAAAGGACTCACTAAATTAATGGCCGTAAAATTTACGTAATACATATGAATGAGGAAGAGAAACAAATTGGTAGAGAAAATATATACAAAGGAGATAGAAGAATTTGTCGGATATTTTAATTTTTCTATTCTCCATGAAAGGATAGATACTGCAAACGTGTGTCAAACACAATGCACATCTCTTTTTCATACATAACAAATCGGAACTCCGTCATGAAAATGTGAAGGTATAAAATAAATCATCCTATGATTTTTAGTTTTTTCTGTCATTTTGAGTTCATTGATCAAATGTAGTAAAACAGTGAAAAGTATATACTTGTTTTTTACACGATTCAAGATGCTCGCTTAGTTGTTAACTGCTTACCCTAAAACTAAGCCTAATATACCTATTTCAAAAGCAACAACTGAACTAGTAAATAAACATTGATATAAGAAATACATGTTACTTATTCTATGTTTCAGCAATATCTATTGGCTTAATTGGCATTTTTTACAACCCTAAACGGTCGATTACATCGAACAATACTAGATATATCTTTACTGAATTTAGTCTTTAAGAAGAAAGACTTCTTATAATTAGATAATATCTTATTGTATGAAATAATTCTCCAGTTTACATTCTGTTCTTTAAAGATTTTCTATTCAAGATTTTTCTTTTACTGACTTCCAATTTTTTATTATCTTCATGAATAATAAATTCATTTAACACTTTAAGAAAAATCTTTTTTTCTTTCGATTCAATAGTAGATTATTGAATAACTAAAAGTAGATACAGAATGAGAATTTCTGCATGAAACTCAATAGAATCATTCGTATGTATATACAACATACACAATTCCTATTACATGCTTATCTACATATGCTAATCTATGTATAATCAATACATAGAATTAAATACCCTATTAGTTAATTGTTTAATTTTATATAAAGGACATTGGTTAAACTAAATATTCTCCAGAAAAAAAGGAAAAAAAAGAAAAAAAAAGAAAAAAACGTTCCATCCCAAATAAGTTTTGAAATAAATTTTTAAAACAAAAACTAATAAAATGTCGTAAACTCATAAAGGAAACAAACTAGAAATTCCTTTGGTGATAAAAAAAGAGTCAATCAATAGTGGGTACGACTTGTTGAACCATGAATAAATAAATGTTGTTCTTTTTTAAAAATTGAAAAAAAGTGCAACTTAGTTTTATCATAAAATGAACAAATGGAATCATTACAAAAATTAAAGTAAATAAACTAGTTATTACATCATGTAAATATGTAGTAAACAATTGTTAATTGTAATTCATATATATATATACGTATAGCAACTCACGCGCAGTCGAGTTGGTTCACATTTAATTCGATTAAGTCATTTTGTTAACTTATTAACGAATTGAGTCATCCGTACACCAACAACTTATCTATATCATTGTATCTTTATTATTGTTGCAAATGCATAAACATGTATGCTTGAGCATTGTTTACTGCCTACGCATTTATTCACGCTGCTACCTTAACTACTAAGCGCTTAATTGATCCGATGATTCATTCATTTCACTGTGTATATATATGTTCATGCTATTCATATTCATTGCTCTCTCTCGCTTAATTGTGCTCGCTTACTCGTACTGATATTCGCTGATTCACTCACTCACTCACTCGCTCGCTCGCTCGCTCGATTGCCAGCTTGCCTTTCGGCACAACTCTTTCATGCTTGTTTAACGCAACTGTAATTTTGGATATCTGTATGTGGTCCCATAATAAACATAATCGACACTTCGTATTCGCCTTCTGATTAATATACCGTTGGGGCGTTATCTAGTGACAGTTATCAAGACGAACTGTATACGAAGTTTAAGGATTATATGGAATACCGACCACCACATACTTATACATATATCTATAGTAATATTTATGCAGAAATGTTAGTTACAGATAGAATAAAACTTTACATATTTTTAGTCAATAACATTTAGATAATCTATGTATCAGTTAAAGTTATGAAATTCAGATGGTAGACAGGTTTAATGTTCATTTTATTTACCGATTACTGTCTCCGATCGTCAACTTGAATGATTATTTTTCTACATGTAAGTCTGTATCTAAACTGCAATATTTTCACATTGTCTAATTATTATATTCTGTGATGTATGCTACTCATGTTGACAGACATAAACAGTATGTAACATCAATCAAAAGTGGAATGCCTGGTAGCAGAAAGTTGAGAAGATCTAATTAAAGAAACCAGAAATATAAACATAAATCAACTGTAATAACAACAGGAATGAAGGGCCAATGACGTTTTCACGAGACAATTATTGGAAGATTTGCAAATAAAGTATTTCATGTATGGTTCTTTAAATTGGTTATTCCAACTAAATCCTTCATCCGTTACAATGATAGTTGACAAAATATCCAATAATATATATTTTTTCTTATTAAGTAAATGATTGATAGTTGTTTATGTTTGGATGTGTAGATATAATGTATAAGTATACTAGGACAAAACGGTTGTCCAATGATCCCATGTTTTTCATGATGGTCTAGCTTTATTGATTCATGAATTCAAGTATATGTACTAATCAAAAACTTTAACCTAAATATTTTAAAAGATAGATTCGATAAAGTTAATACATCAAAAGCTGAAATATAGACTAAATAGAATTTCAGCTATTGAATACGGATTCTAATGTTTTATTTCATTGAACAGTTCATTCATGATGATGATTATTTTACTAATGTTAACAATTTATTATAGTTTTAAAAGAATCCAAAAAAAAGAACTAAACATTAGTTGTTTACACTTTTCATTGATTATTGAAATGTTGATAATGGTAAAATAATAATTTCTTATGCAAATTCAGTGACTAGATATTTTAATATAACTGGGTAATTATAGACATAAAGTGGATATACTCTTTATATAAGAAAACTTATTACCATTAATATTACTTCTCAAAGAATTGATTTCCACAATGTTAACCAAACAACTTGATGATGATCCAGAATTTGCTAGCAAAACACGCCCTATTGAAATGCTACGCAGTGATATTTGATATTACCTGTATTCTTATAAACTTATTTACCGCCAAATAAATCAATTTACTTAGTTACTCATGAGATTTAAATGACTGTTAAATTTTTAGAAAGAAGACATCATCACCTGAGATGATGGAGAACACTTCATTTCTACCTGAAGTCTGTGCTGATGATGTTGTTCAGAAGGGCGATGAAAGCTCCACGATCAAACCATCAAGTTCAAAGGACAAAACTCCATCGAAATCATTACCTATATATATATATATATATATATATATATATATATATATATATATATATTTCGGTCTCTGTATAGTGGACTCTAGATACAGTGTTTCATAACTTTTGCTTAACTCAACTGAATAGATCTCAAACTTTATTGATTCACAGATAACTTATCCTATAGGTATGCAGAATTTTACGAATAGTCACATGGAAATATAAATACAGCAACCAATGCTCTGTGTTATACATGGTATAGCGTTATTTTGACTGTTTGTATTATTATATTAATGTATTCGGAAAATGATATTCTTCACAATTAATCGTTTTGAACCTGTTTTACGGTAATATTAAATAAATAACTAATCCGAATTACTAACATTAAACTATTCTAATGGAAAATATACCTTTTTGTTCAATACCTAAATGTCATGTATATAACAATATAATGTTGCAATAAAATAGCTCTATACACTTATTTATATGTAATGTACTACAAATATGTTTTGCTGTAAAAAGTAAAATTAACATTGTTTGATCTATTATACTTTAACTTTATTGATTACCATTAAACTGTAATGACTGTAAATATGAAAACTAATCTAATCGCTTGTGTTTTGCTATTGAAATGGCATCAGAAGATTACAGAAATTTATTTAAGCAAACATAAAATGATGTGTAGAGATAATTTAATGAATAGTGTAGAAAATCCGAACATGTCCGTGGATAAACGTCTCTCATAATGTATCTAATTCCTCTTGTTTTGTCTCTGAGTTAAATTCTAGATGAAATAGGTTTCAGTTGGCTCCAAATATTCAAGCAGATAACAAAATGCACCGTTATATATAGTCACTTAGTTTAGTGTTTGAGGTATAACTCCGTCTACACTATGTGGTCAGTAATATGAAATAAATAACGTCAGAAAATCTAATTTTCTACTCATTGAAATATTACAAATATATTATTTTTATTTATAAATAACATGATATTCCCTGCCACACAGTAATGAGTTCAAGAGATCACCCAACATATTTAGATACACGATTTTAGATGTCCAATGAAACCTAGAAACAAACTTATCTCATACAAAGTCCTGAAAAATACAATTTGATCATCGTGTATGTAGACTCCTAGATCAATCAACAATGTAGAGTCAACTGTCACTTCATACTGTAATATAAAGTTATTTAAGGTATTCATGAGAGTCAATTTATATATACAGTTAAATAGCATACAATTCTTCATCTCAAATATGTCCATCTCAAACAATTAACCAGTATGTAATTCATAATCCTTTTTCAGTAAATTATATTTTTTTGACAATTAACTATGAAATAAATAAAAAAGTTATTTTTGGTAACTTTGTTTTTTCGTTTCTATTTCACAGAGTGATTTAAGCAATTTTTTATTGTACTATCCAATACTTCATGAACTAAAATTATTCACATTTTGGATTATACATTATGGATATAAAAGATCTTCAATTCTAATGGCTTTATTGAATATGTCATGCTGTCTTTACATTGTTGTATTATAATACTCACACTACAGACAAAATTGTTTATATTATTCTCATTTATGTTATGCGTTAAAACGAATTTTATTAATTATGGAATACATTTATTACATGCCGAATCTTTTGGTTCATCATCATCATCATCATCATCTTCGTCACTATCATCAATATCACTGTTACGTACGGACAGGTCAAAATTAAATGTATATACTGTAGATTTTATGCTTCCAGACGAATTACCTCAAGGTCATTTTATTGGTAACATTCCAAAAAATATTCCGAATTTTCCATTTTATAATATACTCAATTCCTCAGTTAGTACTACATTAGTTGATTCCAGTGGATTTTTATTACAATTATTTCGTGTAACAGATAACGGTGATTTTTATACACAAACTTTAATTGATCGCGATAGTCAGGATCATTTATGTGGGCCATTAAATTGTTGTCATTTAATTGTTTGTAATTTAACAGTAGATGTTTTATTTTTTCATCCAATCACTGAATCAATTACAGTGCATGTAAATTTGCAAATACATGATGCTAATGACAATTCACCTCATTTTACACAACAGACATTTTCATTATGGATACCAGAGGATAATCGACTTAAATATACTGATTTAGATATTCAAAACATGCATAAAATAATATATGGATTACCATTAGCTACGGATATTGATTCTGCACCAAATGGTGTTGTACAATATCGTATACATGGTAGTTTACCTGTCATATCAACATTCCAAATTTATAGTAATTTAAGTATTGAGAAATTAGGTCTTTTAATTAAACCAGGTGTTTTTCTTGATTATGATAATGTAAATCAACGAATATTCAAATTAACCATTGAAGCAGTTGATGGTGGTCATCCAGCTAGAACTGGTCGAATGCTTGTACTTGTACATATTACAGATGTAAATGATAATATACCTGTATTTAAAAAATCTAGAGATTCTATAACTTTACTAGAAAACACTATGTTTGATGAACCAATTTACACGGTACAGGCTACTGATATAGATTCAGATGATAATGGTCTTATAAAGTACACCTTATCATTGACAAACCCAAATACTCTTTCATCTGTTATGGAAAAATTTACATTTCATTCCACCACTGGTGAATTATATTTACGTAATGTTTTAGATTATGAGACATTTCAAGAAAAACAAATAGACTTATTATTCATTGCTTGTGATACCGGTGATCCACCGCTTTCATCAACAGCCCAGTTAACAATTTATTTACAGGATATCAATGATAATCCACCACAATTAATTATACAGTTGAATAACACAATTAAGGAGAACAGTGAACCTGGTCAACTTGCTCTACGTCTTATGATCCGTGATAAAGATGAAGTATCACGTGACATGGTCACATGTCATTCGGATCATTCAAATCTGCACGTTCCATTAAAAATGTCTATATCTGATGATAAACAATGATAACAGTCATTACAAATGCAACAATTGATTATGAATTAACGCCAAGATTATATTATACAATAACATGTTTAGATGAAGCTAGTCCAAAACAAATGAGACAATTTAATCTTACAATTTCTATAGGTGATGTAAATGATAACCCACCAAAATTCAAATCATCTACATTTGCTCCAAAAATAGGTCATTATAAAATTTTATTAAGTGAAGCTGAGCCGGTTAATCAATTATTACTAATTGTAACAGCTGAAGATTTAGATAGTGGAGAAAATGGACGAGTAACTTATAGTCTAATGGAAATGGATCATAATACAGAAGTACCTACTGTTAATGCTTTACAATACTTTAAAATTGACAGTCAAACTGGTAGTATATTTCTAATTAAACAGTTAGACTATGAACAAAATGACTTACTACGTTTTAAAGTATTAGCAGAAGATAATCCTAGACCGGCAGATGGTATACGTTTGAGTTCTGTGGCTACAGTTATTGTACAAATATTAGACGTTAATGATAATGGACCAAAACTAATTAGTTCAGACACTTTAAGTATAACTGAACATTCACCAGTTGGTACAGATTTAGGTTTATTAAATTTACTGACCCTGATACAGGACCTGGTGGTCAAATAGCACATATCACTTTGATTAACTCATTCTCACTAACTAAAACAGATGACAAACATTCAATACAGAATAAATGTAATATTTTCAATGAAGGTGTTCATTATTTTAAATTAACTGATAATGGCCATTTATTATCGATACAATCGATTGATCGTGAAGAATGTTCAATAATATATTTACCTATTTATGCAATTGATCGTGGTCTACCGAATCCAATAACAAGCACTACAACATTAACAATACATATACTTGATATCAATGATAACATTCCAATAATTGAAAAACCAAAATTAGGTGAAACATTAATTTATCAACCAATAAAGTTAATCGATTGGAATAGTTTATCATTTTATCAGTTAACAAATAAACATGATAAAATTTTAAATTATAAACTACTGAATAACACATATTTAAAACAAAATATTAATAATAAAATGTCAAGAAAGTATATTTATAGTAGAGTGGCATTTCAATTACAAGCGAATGATTTAGATGCTGGTGAAAATGGACGTATTACATATCAACAAAATACTAGTTGTAATGGTTCAAAATATTTTCATTTAGATGAATTCTCTGGAGAATTTCGTGCACGCTTTATTGATTATCAGAAATTATCAACTCCTGAATTAATTGAATCAGATGCTAGACGTGGAATTTATCATCTATGTGTACAGCTGACTGATAATGGTAAGCCATCATTACAAACAACCACTTGGTTTTATGTTAAAGTTATTGATCCAATCATGCCACCTAGTGTACACAATATATGGCCAGCTGATTCAGCAAATGATATGGATTCATTATTTTTAAATTTTTATAATACATCAAATTCTCTATGGTCTACAGATTATTTTGATACATCAAAATCGGATGCAGTACGTCTACCTATTGATATGAATATCAGTAATATTGTAATTTCTTTGTTGTTGGCCATTTTTGCCATTACTATTATTTGTACATTGACAGCTGCAATCTTATGGGCACGTACTAAACGACGATTTAAAAGAGCACATGGGAAAATTGTAAAATCTAACTGTACAAATAACACTGTTAGTAATGATAATAATCAAAATACAAATAACACTACTAAATCTAAATTATCAAACAAAAGTAATAAACAAGAAAACAATAAAACTATAAAACTCTCTCAAATAAGTTCAAAATTCAAGCATAAAAAACTATATCATCATACTGACACTGGTAGCACAATTAAACAAATTCATAATAAAAATAATTATTATGGTAGTTGTAGTAGTATATCCAGCAATGATAATAGTAATGATACATCTTGTAACGTGAAAGTTGACAATCTGTGCAAACAATTAACAACTAATACTGAAACTGTAAATACTACTAATAATAATAATGTTATTAGTAGTCATAACTATGACAATAATAAAACTAATAGTCAAACTGTTGTATCTTGTATAAAATCTCCAATATTATATGCATCAGTGAGACATAAAAATGAATTTGAAAAGGATACATCTAAAAAACGATTTTCTACAGGTTTATTTCATAGAAATAAACTAACAAATATAAATAGTGATAATAATTATGTAGCATTAAATAAAATTCATTATACTTCAGCATATTCTGAAAAACCTCAACATTTACCACAAGAACATAAACAAGTTAGAGAAAATAATATTCATATTGATTCTGACAATTCATATCTTTTACCCTGTGATCTTATTTCAATATGTCCTAAACATAATTTCACTGATAGTGATGATAATAATAATAATCATAATAATAATATTGAAAATAATAATAACAATAAAAATAGTTTTTATACTAGTGATACCAGTGAGACACCACCAACTTGTTGTTCATTAATTACTGTACAATCAACAAGTCCACAATTGAAATATTCAAAAAATGATATTTTTCATCATTTTCATTATGGACAAGAAACACTATCAAGTCAACAACATGATCAATTATATTCATTGCCATGTGCAACCCATTTTGTAACAATAGATCCTGATAATATTGAACTTAGATCAGTCAATACTATAAATTCAATAAATGAAAAGAAATTGAATTATCCAACTAATCTACTTTCAGAAAGTATGATGACATGTTGTTCAACAATTCCCGTAAGTAAATAATTTTGTATACAATTATAAATTCAATGTCATACTGTATATGATTTCGATTATTACCCTGAAGAAGTCCAGACAAGTCAGCTGAACGAAACGTTGGAATGATTTAAATTTCAGTCGCTAAGATTATTTCAAATATAATTTCAATAATGACTTTCTATACTCGGCGCTCAATTACTGTCAAACTATTTGTTCTAATTTGACGAATATAAATTTCATCCTAGATTATTTCAAATATAATTTTCACATATAATGACCTTTCTATACTCCGTGCCCAATTTCTATCAAACTATTTGTTCTAATTTTGACGAATACTCGTATAAATTTGAACTTCTGTTTTTTTTAAAAAAATAAATGTCATCGAGACAACCTAAAATATTAAATTGTTTAGGTTATTTATTTGGTAACCTACTACTCAACTAAAATATGTTCTCAAAATTAAAATAATTTTAAGTACAAGAAGATTTGTGGAAATTTCGGAATCGTCAACTGATCTTAATTAGATCACTGATGAAAACCTAGAAGCACTGGACTCGTTGTTTCGTGATTTAAACTATGAATACATCTCGTTAAATTGATAACTATTCGAATAATTATTGTCAATTACCGTCGAAAACTTATAAATAAACCGTTTATAATGCATGATCTTAGAGAAATTTCTGGTTGAAATTCAGCTTGATAACACCTAATCTAAGGATTGTTAATTGTCATTAAGTTAATTGAATAAATAATTCAATAAATTAATTATGAAACATAATGTAATGATTGCGTGTGCAACAATAAACTAAAATTTAGAAATGAACCGGAAGTATTTTTTGTGAAATGACTGTTTTTATCGATGATAATAATAATAATAATAATGAAATAATACTGAGTATACATATATATAGCTATGACTATTGTATTCAGTATACTCACAAGTATACATTTATTAAGATTCTTTAATGGCTTAAACATAATAAACAGCATAGTAACAAATACGTTGATTATTCTTAAAGTTACTTATTCTAAACGCTATTATCAAATGTTTAGTTATTTAGATATATTTAGAATTCTTTAAAGTTTCATGAAAAATAAACTTATTATCTCCCAGATAATTTTTGTCACGAACTGATATTAATCGTAAAATAGCCTCTTCTACCATGGTCTTAATCTTCCGAAATTTCATTCCTTTTCTTCACGGCCATCTGCTTCCGTTCTATCTTCTATAAAAACTTTTTCTCCTGAATTAATTTGTTTCAGTTTATATGATCTTCCTTATAACAGTTCACTTCAATTTCAACATTTTATCTTATCATGTTAAGTAATCCCTTTCCAATAATAATTCTATGTCTACCTTCATAATGAATATATATCATCCTCGATAAAAAAATAACATTTTTATGCTTTTATTTATCTTACCTCACTGTTGCTACAATTAGAATACAACAGATAGATGTTTTGTTCCAACTTATTTGAATTTTTAATCAATGCCTAAACGGAAACGTCATATTGGTGACAACTGAATACTGAAAGTATAGGGTTGTGAAGGGTTTTGAGTTTTATTGAAATCAAGAACATATCATTGTTAGACCACTATTGGAAACGTAGAATTACTGGGCGGCTGATTTGTTTTAGTATAAGACTCTTCAGGACTGCCCATTCATCGCCCAACACGTGAGAATGGAACCCAGGATCTTCGGTCATAGTCACGAACGCTTAATCTCTAGATCACTGAGTCGGGATCCAATGCCGTTAATGTCTAACTGCAGTCAACCCACGTTTTTGAGCGTCCTTCTTCAATCGTTTTTGATGTGTAATTACTTCACACCCGACACTGTTGAACTCCACTCAGAGAATTTCCTCTCGAAGCTAGTCACTAGTGAGAAAATAATAATTATCAATATGAGGTTGCGAAGTTTTAAGGAAATCATTAGAGGACCAATGTTTTCAATGATGGTCAAACGTTGATCAGTTCATGATCTCAATAAGAACTAAACATCTGCAGATTTCAAAAGTGAGCGTAATATATATATAAACCAATAAAGCAGTGTATAACCAGGGGGAATCCATAAAAGCAATGTTATATAAGTCCTATTTTTTCAACTCTCTTGACAAAAAACAGAGATATATAAGTAATGCTAGCTTAATAAACTGATCTACTATAAAGCGAATACAAAAATCAATAGTTGAATGTGTACCTAAAGCTGGATATATGTTGATTATTATGATTAATTGATCAAATATTTGTTTTTCAACACTCGTTCATGAAAGACAGTTAAACAGTTTTGACAAGATAATAAGTATAATTTACACGATGATTAACTGAAAACAAGATTTATACACATAACAAAGCCACATTGGCTCACTTGATGCTAAGTTTTGACTACAGACTTACTGATGTCCAAGTACTTTTTCTAATAAGACTCCCTTACAACACCCACATGATCCTACTGAGAATTAAACCCTATGTTTGGCAATTATTTTGCATTAACTACGTTTAAAATCAATCATTACCTTAGAACCAGTTTAAAAAGTGGAATGCAGGTTTTTATCTTTTTTTTTACATTAGTACTACTGAATAGCATGTATGTGTCATTTCACAATTGTCTGTAATGTATCTCATAGCTAAACTATATCAAGACAGTTTTATACATTGAAACATTTGGTCTCCAATTTTCATTAAAACAGTAATATTCTTAAACATGAAAGAGGATGAATGTATTTGTAAAATTTCAGCGAAACGTTGAATTTCCTTCAAATTCATTCGCTAAGATTTTACAAATACATTCTTTCTCTTAAATGTCTCATATCAACTCATCATCGTAATACTGTAAAACTATTCGATTAAATTTAGACGAAAGTTCTTATAAAGTATTATTCTTAATTTATTTAACCGTAGAAAAGATAATTCACCGATTGTAATTATTATATTCAATCATCTCACTATCTCATACCTCTTTTTTTCTTAATTCTATTCGTTAATGATTATATTAAACTATTTTATTGTTTCATTTCATTCTCATAAATCCTTATTGTTATGACACCTTTGATATTAAATAGATAAGGAAACTTTGTTTTTCAACACTCGTTCATGAAAGACAGTTAAACAGTTTTGACAAGATAATAAGTATAATTTACACGATGATTAACTGAAAACAAGATTTATACACATAACAAAGCCACATTGGCTCACTTGATGCTAAGTTTTGACTACAGACTTACTGATGTCCAAGTACTTTTTCTAATAAGACTCCCTTACAACACCCACATGATCCTACTGAGAATTAAACCCTATGTTTGGCAATTATTTTGCATTAACTACGTTTAAAATCAATCATTACCTTAGAACCAGTTTAAAAAGTGGAATGCAGGTTTTTATCTTTTTTTTTACATTAGTACTACTGAATAGCATGTATGTGTCATTTCACAATTGTCTGTAATGTATCTCATAGCTAAACTATATCAAGACAGTTTTATACATTGAAACATTTGGTCTCCAATTTTCATTAAAACAGTAATATTCTTAAACATGAAAGAGGATGAATGTATTTGTAAAATTTCAGCGAAACGTTGAATTTCCTTCAAATTCATTCGCTAAGATTTTACAAATACATTCTTTCTCTTAAATGTCTCATATCAACTCATCATCGTAATACTGTAAAACTATTCGATTAAATTTAGACGAAAGTTCTTATAAAGTATTATTCTTAATTTATTTAACCGTAGAAAAGATAATTCACCGATTGTAATTATTATATTCAATCATCTCACTATCTCATACCTCTTTTTTTCTTAATTCTATTCGTTAATGATTATATTAAACTATTTTATTGTTTCATTTCATTCTCATAAATCCTTATTGTTATGACACCTTTGATATTAAATAGATAAGGAAACTTTTTTTTTCAGATTTTAGCCACACACGCCATTGTTGATTAGAAATTAAATAATTACATATTTATATTTTTGAAAAAAAAACAAAAAATTTTTTAATAACCTTAAATGACCCAGTTCACAAAATACGATTTAATAAACCACAATTTATTTCATTCTTTTTTTCAAAGAATTTCGGTTCACACACATTAGTTGACAATAAAATTATCACTTTCTTTTTTATTATTGTGATGAAGAAAGAAAAAAAAAGGATTTAAGTTCATGAGTCATAGATAAATTCTGAGAAATCTTTTAGTTAAAACTTTCCTTCCTTTCTGAGAGTAGAATATTTAGAAAACAAAGTGAAAATCGTTATAGGCAAGAATGGAGGATGAGTAGAAGCGAAATTCCGGACGCGCGTTTCCTCCTATTTGGAACTCGTCAGACGGATGTGCTTGTATCTCAGAGTTGATGTTCACTCTGGAACTGGAACCCAATATCGTTTGCTTCCAATGCTAGCTGACGAGTCCCAAATAGGACGAAACGTGGATCCTGGATTCTACTGATAGAGACTATTCATTTTTGCTTTTAATGCTTGTGAATTAAGACAATATCGAAACAATATGCACCGGATGCACACATGCCAATAAGAGATTGATCAACTGCAGTCCTTAACATCAATGGGAATATTCAAACAAACAATACCATGTGAATTTAAAGTGAAAATCAATTAGAACTTAGATAATTGAAGACAACAATGAACAAAGCGAATAAAATATTATCGAAATAAATTTAAATATAAGCAAGAAATACCATTTTGAAATTTATGTTCATGTAAAATAATTCATACTGATAAGCTTGGTAACATGTTACATTGAAAATCAGGGATATGATGGTTGCATTCAGCTTCGTTATAGAATTACACTGATGTTGTTGTATTTCACAGTTAGACTGAGAATATCACCGAGTGTGTGGTAAAAATATCTTCGAAACATTTTTATTTAACCAGCAAATACTGATATTTTATTTACTATTAAAACTAAGTAAAACCTACTAGTTTCAGAGTTATAAACTAAACAATTGATTTATCAGTGAGCAGTGACTAATGTGATATTTATCAAACCCTTTCCTGCTAATTA